TACTACTACTACTACTACTACTACTACGATTACTACTACTACTACTACTACTACTACTACTACCACTACCACTGCCACTGCTACTACTACTACTGCTACCACTACTACTACTACTACTACTACTACTACTACTACTACTACTACTACTACTACTACTACTACTTCTACTACTACTACTACTATTACTAATACTACTACTACTACTACTACTACTACTACTACTACTACTACTACTACTACTACTACTACTACTACTACTACGACTACCACTACTACTACTACTACTACTACTGCTGCTACTACTGCTACTACTCCTACACTACTACGACCACTACTACGGCGACTACTACTACTAATGATAGTAGTGATAGCACTAAGCCTATTACTACGACGACGACCACTACTACTATTGCTAATACTGCTATTATGATCACTACTACTACTACTACTACTACTACTACTACCACTACTACTACTACTACTACTACTACTACTACTACTACTACTACTACTACGACCACTACTCCTACCACTCCTACTACGACTACTACCACTACAACTACAATTACAACAACAACTACGACTACGACTACTACTACTACTACTACTGCTACTACTACTACTACTACTACGACTACTACTACTACTACTACGACTACGACTACTACTACTACTACTACTACTACTACTACTACTACTACTACGACGACGACGACGACGACGACGACGACGACGACGACTTCTACTACTGCTCCTTGTTGTGCTACCTACACTACCGCCGACCTAGTACTACTACGACCGTTACTACAAATATTGCTACAACCACCACATCCACCAGTACCAATCGTAATCAGTCGCCCCCACCATCCTGTTTAAGCCAGGTGGTTAGCTATTGCGGTGGAGGGTGGCGCTCCTCCTCACCCCTCACTCCTCATTCCTCATCCTTCTGCTCCTCGTCTGCATCCTCATCCTCCCCCTCCTCATCCTCATCCTCATCTTCTTCCCCAGGCCACTCCTCCTCCTCATGTCGCTACCCCTTTCCGTCCTCACATAGAAAAACCAAGAGGAGGAGGGGGACGCGGAGGATGAGGCTTGACATAATGAGGAGGAGGAGCAGGAGGAGGTGAAGTTGTAAGAGGATGAGGAGGAGGCGGGAAAGAAAGAATGCGGTGGAGAGTAATGGGAACGATGCGGACGGAGAGTGAGAAGCAGATGAGGCGGAAGACGGAGGAGGAAAGAAGTGGGAAGCATCGATAACAAAGAAACAGGTATGACACTGGGGACGAGCATATATATATATATATATACATATAGATATGCACATACCTACACATATACTTATGGGTGCGTGTGTGCACTAAATGTTAATATGCATATACATGTGTATCGATACGTACATGTGTATATGTATGTATCCGCCCCCGTGCCTCTGGGCACGGAGCGGGCGTGTCCTCAAGTCCTTTGCTGAGGAGCCTTTACGGGGCCCGGACCCAACACTCCTAAACCTATCGGGGCTTTCCGCGTGCCCACTGGGCTCCCCCGCATACTGTCGCGTAACTTCTTGGGGCCCATGACGGCCCCAAGACGGGCCAAGAGGGCTTCAAGAGGCCTGCCAAGATGGTTCGAGGGCCAGGGTCGCCGAACGGTCGCTCCAAGGCACTCAAGATGGCCCCCAGACAGCCCAAGAGGCCTCCCAAGACTTTAAGAGGCCTCCCAAGAGGGCCCCAAGAGGCCAAAAAACCATGGAGTTCCCTCAGGTTTTTGATCCGCCACCGTGCCTCTGGGCATGGAGTGGGAGTGTCCGAAGGTCCTCGGGTGAGTCCTAGGAGCCTCAGTCCTCAGTCCTGAGCAGTCTTTCAGGAGCCCGGACCCCACCTTCCGAAATCTGCCGGGGCTTCCCGCGTGCCCCCCGGGCTCACCGCTGCGGACCACCGCCTGGGGGAGAGCCAGCTTCGGGGAACCCGGCAGGGCGGTGTATACAGTGGAGACCCACGCCAAGAAACACCCTGCTTGCCTCCAGGGTGCCCTGGGCTTCTCGGGTTTATTGATGGCTCTGCGACGGAGAGCGCGACGCTCCCTCACCACAAAAACCAACGGACGTCCTGGGGTCTCAGGGTTGGGTTTCTTGTGGAAGGTTTCTTGTCCGGAGGGTTCCCAAGGGAGGTTTTTGGGGAGGGGGTTTTCCAGGAGGGGCCCCCCAGGGGCTTCGCACCCTCTGTTCTGACGAGGTCCCGAGGGCCCCTGGGGGACACCTCCTGGAAAACCCCCTCCCAAAAAAACCCCTTTGGCACCCTCCGGCTTGTGGACTGGGAGCGCTTAGCGCCTGGGAGCGTGGGAGGGCGCCCGCGCACGCCGGCCGCGGGCCCGCCGACCCGCGGCCGCGCTCGCCCCCCGGGTCGGCCGGGCCAGGGCGCGCCCCCCCGGAGAGAGGCCGGGAGGCCGCGGGCCTCCGTGCTCGCGGTCTGGTTGCACTCCACGTAGAGGTGGTACCTCGGGGGCGGAGGAGGAGGAGGAGGAGGAGGAGGAGCCCCTATTGCCTTTTAAGGGTGCCCACCGCGGGGCAAGCTCCGTCCCACATTGTCAGGCTTAATGTAACCCCTTATAAGCTGGCTTTGTGCTTGCACGACCAGTTTCGCAGAGTCCTGAGTCCTAGGAGGAGGAGGAGGAGGAGGGGCGGGAGCGATGCGCGAAGCAGAGGACGCAGAGGCACTGGCAGCCTCGAGCCTCGAGCACCTCGGCCGTCCTCCAGCCCCCACGTCCTTCTGAGCAGCCGAGGTCGCTCTCCTCCCTGTCGCGACACCCAGACGTGTCCGTGGGGCGGGCCAGGCATTTTTTCGCCTGACATGTCCTGGCCATTTGTGAGCCTGACCCTTGAACTTCGAACAGCTTCACGGATGGAGAGCTGGTCGTGTTCAAAATGTGGCTCTCGCCGGAGAGCCGCGCACATTCGCCTTTAAAGTTTGCAAGAATCTCACGGATGGAGGGCGGGTCGTTTTCAGCATGTGGCCCTCGCCTCAGCGCCGCGCACATTCGTCTTACAAATTTGCAACAAGAACTTCTCGGATGGAGGGCAGTTCCGTTTCAAAAATGTGGCTCTCGCCTCAGCGCCACGCCCAGTTGCTTCAAGAGTTCGCAGCAGCTCCGCACATAATTAGAGGGCGGCTCCTTTTCCAAATGTGCCTCTTTAAAAGGTCGTAACAGTATCACGGATGGAGGGCAGTTCCTTTCCAAAAGGTGGCTCTCGCCTGTACGCCGCGCGCATTCGCATCAAACATTCGCAACGGTGCCAAGTATTAGCATGGTTGAGGTCTCAAGAACAACATTATGACACGCGTAAGGACTGTCAGGATGCAACAGTCAGGTTGATTCGCTGTGTTGACATCCCAAGAAAGGCTTTCTGGCACGACTTAGGATTGTCAGGACGAAACAGTCACGTTGATTCGAGGCGCTGAAGTCCCAAGAATAATTGGCACGATTTTGAGGATTCTCAAACGGTGTCTTCCAAAGGGGCAACTCCCGCAATGAACAACAACTCTGGGTAAGGGTCCTCGGAAGGGGGAACTCGGAGGGATTATTGCACCATCGTTGATGCGTCTTGGTTTTGCAGTGGGCCCCCCCCTCCTCCTCCTCCTCCTCCTCCTCCTCCTCCTCCTCCTCCTCCTCCTCCTCCTCCTCCTCCTCCTCCTCCTCCTCCTCCTCCTCCTCCCCCTCCTCCACAATTACACAATATGAAAATACTCTCCCACTTCCCCTGATGGCGTCCCGAAGATATCCGACCCCCCCCGCGTACTGTTTTTTACACACAGGATTCCCGGGAAACGGGTTTTCGCCTGCGTTTTTTTTCAAAATGCTGCTCTCGCTGAGGCGCCGGCCTCATTTCTGCTCCCGAATCGTTCCGAATCGTGCTCCCGCTGCAGCGTGGGCCTCATTTTCGGATCGGTGTTTGGCCTCCGTCGTTCAGGATGGCGTTCTCGCCCCAGCGCGGGCCTCTTTCTCGCGCGCCCATCCGCCCGCCACCACCGCGCCGAACCACCACCACCACCACCACCAGCACCACCACCACCACCACCACCACCACCCACCACCACCACCACCACCACCCACCACCACCACAACCACCACCACCACAACCACGCACACACGCACGCACGCACGCACGCGCACCACCACCCACTACGCACGCGCGCGCGAAGCCACAGGTCCGCTACGACACGCGTCCGCGGATAGAGAAAATCAGCGCCATGGTAAGGGATGGGAGGGAGGGGTAGGACGTCAGATATGACGCGAGCGCACCTAGCTTGTCCTCCTCCTCCTCCTCCTCCTCCTCCTCCTCCTCCTCCTCCTCCTCCTCCTCCTCCTCCTCCTACCCCTCCTCCTCCATCCCTTCCCCCTCCTCTCCCTCGCCCGCTCAATGCCAGTGGCCAGCCCGGCGCCGCAAGAGCGCGCGCGCGCGCTGGGCGAGGTGCGGCGAAGAAGGCTCCAAGCGCTCTGGCCCTCGTGTGGCTCGGAGGCGCGCAAGGGAGGGGGGGTCGCAAGTCGTGGCCCGAGGCACGAGCGCGGCCGCGTGGCCGAGGCCTGCTGCTCCCTGCTCCGGTTCCAGTCTCGAGTCTCGCGTGCTGCAGCCGTGCTGCCTACGTCCTGCTGTGCACTGTCGCTGCCCGCGCGAGGGGAGGCCCCAAACCAGCTTCTCTTACCACGCCGCCCAGGGGGTCCCGGAATTCCCCCGGGCCCCAGGAGGCCTCGGGAAGCCCCAAGAGGCCCCAGGAGGCCCCAGGAAGGCCCAGGGTCCGCAAATGATTAACTAAAAAAGGGCCCCTCACCCTTTGGGAGGGGACCTAAGTTAGGAGGGGCAGAAACATGAGGGATAGAGTTTTCGTTCTGCAGATGTATCAAACCAAACCGCCCAGAACTAGAATCCACAATGCCAAGACGGGGACTTCAGTGAGGCCACGTCTTCGCTACATTATTAAGGTAAGGGGTTCTTTTATTGCCGATGATCAGGGGGACGTAAGACCTGGGTACAGGGGACTCGGAAATCCCCGACGAGGTCGTCAAAAAAATGACGAGGGCGAGCCTGCATTTTGACGAGGCCTCCCGCTGCAGACATCCCACGAAACTCCTCCTCGTCAAAATCCGAGGCGCGATAGTCAAAAAACGATGGCGAACCCGAGTCCTGGCAAACCCGGGTCTTACGCTCCCCCGAGATGAGCAAAGCCTCGCGGAATGACCACAGACGGCGCGCGAAAACCCAGGGGCGCCAGAACGCCGGCCGATTCGGGCGCGAGAACGGAAACCGGTCCTGCCAAAATCGATCGGCGATCCTGCGGCGAGGACCGCCCAGGAGGGCCCGGCAGGCTCCAGGAGGCCCCCGGGAAGCCACCAAGACGCCGCGGGAGACGCCAGGAGGCCCCAGGACGCCCCGGGAGGGCCGCAGGGTCCACAAAGCGCCGCGGGCACCGAGGGCCCAGGAGGAGGAGGAGGAGGAGGAGGAGGAGGAGGAGGAGGAGGAGGAGGAGGAGGAGGGAGGAGGGAGGAGGGAGGAGGGAGGAGGGAGGAGGAGGAGGAGGAGGAGGAGGAGGAGGAGGAGGAGGAGGAGGAGGAGGAGAGGAGGGGCCCAGGAGGCCCCATGAACACTGGCCAGAGCGGCGCCTGCTCTCTCAAACTCGAGCGGTGCTGTGGCGCCGAGACACCCCCCCAGGAGGCCACAGCAGGCCCCCGGAGGCCCCCCTGGAAGCCGCCGGGAGGCCCCCAGGACTCGGCGGTGGACAAACCTCCCTTTAGTAAACCTCCCCTTGGTGAAAACGGCCTGGGACCGAAACCGACGGACCTGGACCCGCAAACATGACGGCCGCGACGCCCTCTCGCGAACCGAAAAGGGACAATTCCTTACTCGACGTGTCAGGGTAGGAGGTCTATCCACCTCCGAAGGACGCCCCAGGAGGCTCCAGGGGGACCCCAGGGAGGCCTGGGAGGCCCCAGGGAGCCCCAAGAGGAAGCCCCAGACTCCCAGAGGGACACGTAAATATACACTGGAGTCGCGCCACCGAGGCCACGATCCCAAGAACGCGCCACCGAGGCCACGATCCTCTGTGAACTCACCGTGTTCGCGACTCCGAGGCCACGATCCACACAAGATTCGCGTTCTCGAGGCCACGACCCTTCGTAGATTATTTCGTATTTGCGTCCCCGAGGCCACGATCCCTCGCAGTCACGCCGTGTTCGCGTCCCCGAGGCAAGATGTCCCGAGGCAAGATGTCCTTTTATGAGATCATGCAGTGTTCGCGGTCCCGAGGCAACGATCCCGGGTAAATGTCACCGTATTCCGGCCCACGAGGCCACGATCCCTGACCCTCCCCACGGCCACGATGCCTCGCAAATTACGCCGCGATCGCGTTCCCTAAGCAACGATCCCTCGTAAATTACGCCATGGTCGCGTCCCCGAGGACACGACCATTGGTAAAGCATGCCGTGTTCGCGTCTCCGAGGCTAGCAGCCTCAGTGAATTAGAATGGATTCGCGTCCCCGAGGCCACGATCCGATGTAAGTTGTACTGTGACCGCGTCTCCGAGGCGCCCATCCCTCGCAAGTTGCGCCTCATTCGCGCAGTAAATGGCACGAGGTTCGCGTCCCCGAGGCCACGATCCCGCGTAAGGTGCGCTATCTTCGCGTCCCCGAGGCCACGATCCCTTTTGATTTACGCAAGTGTTTGCGTCGCGCCAGATTCGCGTCCCCGAAGGCATTGTCCCTGGCAAAATTATCCGAGGAACCCAAAGACGGCCCAAGGCGCGCAATTTTGCCCAACGTAGCCTCAAGCAGCCACAATTCACCAGTCGTTCCAAGCGGGCCTTCAATACACAGCGCGAGGGGACGCTCGAAAAAAGAAAAAGTTCAACAACATCAACTGGATCGCAATTCGCCTTGAAGATGATCAGTCGCCCTCACATGAGGTTTCGAGATTGCTTCACGACGGCGCCCGAGCATCCCAACACGAATCCGGCATACCAACGCGACTCCGGCATACCACGTTCTGATAGAGAGGGGGCCGGCGGCAAAGCGCGAAGCACTTACTGATAAGAAGAGGGGCCTCGAAACCCGGGGGGGCGGCATCGTGGCCCCGGCCATGGTGTCCACCCACCAAGCGCGAACAACGTCACGCTCTCGCGCCGCCACCCAGGGGGAGAGGAGGAGCACGAGGCATCGGAGCCAAACCGCGCAGCGCGGAGCGCGAAAGACTTCGCGCCCTCGAGGGGCGCCCCTGCACCCCCCCGGCCTCACCACCGCTCTTGGCCGCCCCCGGCTTGGCACGAGGACATCGTCGGCAGGGGTTGGCCCGGCCCCTGGCTCCCGACCTGCGGCGGGTCCGTGCCGTGTCGGCGTCGGCACTGGTCTCTGACGCCGCGTGAACCGGTCAACTGACACAAACGAAACTGTTTCCCATGTTTGCCCAGATGTTTTCCCAAAAATCTCCTATGTTTTCCCAGATGTTCTTG